TCACAAAGAAAGAGACTAAGAAGCAGAAATGGGGATCCCATGACTGGATCTGGATCTGCCCCGCCCCTGGGCAATGTCCGGGGGAGAAGCAAACATCAATGGAGCTGCAGTTATTATTGGGTCATTAGCTAAAACCAGTCACATCTCATCCTTCTCACGGTGAAACCGCATTTTCAGGAGCATGGTCGGTCCCATCCTTGGCTCTGGCTGTGCTTGGTGCCTGGCATGCAAGAGACACACGGCTTCCCGTGGTACCTTCATGCCCCTGCACAGAAGCACCATCCTAAGGCGCCTCAGCAGGAACAAGACCCATGCAGCTTTTGGTTCCCGTCATCTCGGGCCTTCTACTGAGTTAAGAGCCACTGGGAGCTCCTTGGGATCTTGTCCCTGCCCTTTAGTGACCTGTCTAGATGGTGAGATGAGCAGACAGTTTCTGAGGAGACCAGACGTCTAATCAGGACAGCCTTGGCCTGGCTCCTTCCACCTTGCCAGCGCGGGCAGCAGTTCTAAGCTGGCTCTCAATCCTTCACCTTCAGAACCACAGACCTGAGAAAGCCTCACAGCCTCCTTAGATCTGCCTAGAAGGGAGGGATGTTGGCACCAGGGACACAGTGAGACAGCAGACAGACCCTGCCAGGGACAAGAGCAAAACCACCAGGGTTTCTGTCTGTCCCTGGTCCTCTTTCCCCTTACACAATGAGACTGCTGTCTCTGAGGGACCCAGGACTCCACTCTGCTGCAGTCTCCAGGCACAGCCAGGCATTTCTTCTCTGCAGGACTTGCCTTTTAGCTCCTTGTCACAGGTTGAAGCATGCCTCCCCAGGTGCCTCCTTCCTGCCGGCCCAGAGAGGGACTCTAGGCACAGTCTCAGATGTGGGGGAAACCTCAGCCAGGCTCTTGACAGGGGTTGTGACCTAAGCTGTAGCATTCAGGTTTCCTAGTTGCAGGGGGTTCATTGTTCTTTGGTTGAGGGTTTGTTTTTTGTTTTTGTTTTTTTTTTTTTAAATTAGATGCTATTCTTGCCCAGGACAGAGTTAAGCTTCCTTAGTGACTTAAGGGCTCTGCAGAATGCCTAGGGAGGAAAGGCACATGGTCAAGGGCCCCTCCATCCTGCAAAGGCCTGAAGGCCAGTGTGAAAACCTGGAGGTGCTGGGTGGGGGCCCCTGCAAGTACTGCTGGGGTCACTGGGGCAGAGGAGTCAGGAGTCTTTGTCCCTGGGTATAAGGCAGACTAACAGGAGAAAGTAACTAGAAAGGAAAGGCAGCGTTGGAAGCTACGTTGAGAGAAGGAAAACTAGTTTAACTGGATTGTGGTTGAAAATTAGTAGTACAATAAATCTGTCCTAAACGGGATCACAGCAGACAAGGGTAGGACAGAGAAATGAGAGAGCCGGAGAAACGCTCACTGGCATGCTCACTTCGTCCGCCACCGGCCGCTACAAAAGAGCTGCTCTCCCGAGCTCCTGCTAGCCCTCCCGGCTTAGGTGGAAGTCATTCTAGGGTCATGTTCTAGTCCTGGAACCCTGGAGGCTGAAGGCCCCCGAGAAGGAGGGGAATTCGTGTGTCTCTTGCTCAGTGAACAGCTCAGCAGCGTGGTCCAAGGGCCTGAAACTGCCTACCCAGAGGTCACTCCTGGGCCCTTCAGTCCACCTGCTAAGACAGATGGGCAGACAGAGCCAAGATTTACCCATTCCACGAGACCCTTGGGCAGGTAAGTTTAAAGAAAGGTAGAAGTAGGCAGAAAGTCATTTCTCTGACCCTTGGTCTGCCACCTTGGTTCAGTCTAGATTTAAGTGGGTCCACCCTCACCTAGCCCTCCTGCACGGGGAGGGGGATGGATGGAGTGATCATGCACATGGCCTGTCAGCTCATAGTTTATAGAACAAGCACAGTCTGGTTGGAAACAACAGGGAAATGGGAGTCCAGGTTCCCACAGTTGGGTTCAGGGTGCTGGCCAGCCCTCGAGGAGCTCCCAACAGGGATCGATGACCAGGGATGTAGCTCAGTGGTATAGAATTTGCCTAGAATGACCAAGGTCAGTGTCAGACTTCAGGTGTCAGACGCAAAGCCTTGTGGCTTTTCTGAAAGGAGGGTCATGCTCCTAGGGCCTCCTAAGTGCCCAAGACCCCGAGGTGACACTTCCCGACAGGTCCTAGAAGGAACCTGGGCCTGGCTCCTGTGTTAATCACTTGATGTACTGGGGATCCCTCTGTGTCCCCTCAGTGACCTCTTCTCGGGCTGTCCTGTGATATCACAAGGACCAGGCTCTGGGCGACACAGGAGACAGGGCAGGCCCTTTCCAGCAGCACAGTGCAGAGCAAGCTCTCAATTCTGGGGCCTGGTTTTCATTGAGACCGCAGCACTTGGCTCGGAAAGTCTCTCAGAGCGGAAGGCGTGGCGCCCAGCAAGTATTTTTATGCAGAAATATGAGAACTATTCTGCCGAGGCAGCATGAAATTGCTCCTGTAGCCGAGGTGGAGTCAGACAAAGGGGGAGATGGGCCAGGCTGGCTCCCGGGGTCCTGTGGATGTGCTGTCCCCCAGGCCAGATCAGCGTGGCTTCTGCTCATGGGCGCACAGGGTCTGGTTGTCCTCTGGAGACGACAGCTTGCCCATAAGGAAAGAATATGAGCCCCACCCCAGCCTTTGTGTTCACACTGAAGGACCTGCAGCCTTTGCTGCCGTCTCAGGATGACTGTTTGGACGGTCATCTTCCTGGCAAAGATAGGCCTATCACATGCTGGGCATCTCTGGCCCCCTACTGTCAGGATTTTGGGGGAGTCAACAGGTCAGCGCCCCAAAGACCTGTGCTGCTGAGACTTTGAACCGCCACCTTTCCACTGTCCTTTTTGTCCCTCTTCTGTCGTGTGCCTAACACAGCCACAGAGAGAACAAGTCGGGGTGACTGCTGGGAGGGTCTCAGAAGACTTGGGAGAGCTTAGGCACCATCAGGCGCGAGAACCTGTGAAGAGCCTGGCAAGAGAATGAGCGAGACTTTGCTGGAAGCCACAGGCTGTACAGCCAGAGGGGCAGAGGGGCAGAATCTATGGAGAGGTTGGGTCGTTTGAGGAAAAGAGGAGCCAGGGAGGAGGAACTGTCTTTCCCTAGTGCCAGCCGGAAGGCTGAGACAGGCAAAAGGGCTCTGGGATGGAGTTGTGTCAGGGCTGCGGAGAATGCCTCACCTGACTGCACAGATACCTGGTGACCTCACTGATGTACTAGTTGCAAAGAGCAGGACTCTACTTAGGGCTGTGTGTGGTTTACAAGGACAAAAGATGTCAAGATAGGGCTCTGGCTCCCACCGGCAGCCACAGCGAAGCAACAGGTGGGGCAGACCTGTCTGAGGCACACGTGCGATGACCAGAAATGTTCTCTCAATGCTGGTCTTTGCCAGGAATGGTGGTATAGACCCATAACCCCGGGAATGGTGGTATAGACCCATAACCCCGGGAATGGTGGTATAGATCATAATCCCGGGAATCGTGGTATAGATCATAATCCCGGGAATCGTGGTATAGACCCATAACCCCGGGAATGGTGGTATAGATCCATAACCCCGGGAATGGTGGTATAGACCATAATCCCGGAAATGGTGGTATAGATCATAATCCTGGGAATCGTGGTATAGATCATAATCCCGGGAATGGTGGTATAGACCCATAAACCCAGGAATGGTGGTATAGACCCATAATCCCAGCACTAGGAAAGATGAGGCAGGAGGAAGATGGCTGTATGAGCTACATAGCAAGACTCTTGTCTCAAAAATCAACTAAGAAACCAGCTAAACAACTGCCCGCCACTAACTAATCCAGGCTTATATACAGGTTGTGCAAAGCTAGGACTTCTACCTCCACGCCACATCTGCCCTCGGTGTCAAGTCTGGGACACGCACAGCTTCCTAATATCTCATTTGCCTCTCTAATGTGGGTCATGACCCCTGAGGGAAGAACCACCCTTTCACAGGACCATCCATAACAGTAGCCACATTACAGTTACGAAGGAGCAATGAAAATAACCTTCGGTTGGTGTCACCACAGCCTGAGGAATGGTTCTACTAAAGAGTCGCGGCATCAGGAAGGTAAGAACCACTGACCTGGAGCCTGCATCTGTGCCTGGCAGCCAGAAAGCTAGGATCCCAGTCCTGGGGGCCCACAGAGTCCACAAAGGGTCCTACACCCTCTTACTGAACAGTTCTCACTCCAGAAGAACTGACCGGATGCAGGCCCACAGTAGGGAGGCCACAACAAGGCACATGAGACCATGTGATCCCTAGTGGCACTTCACCCTCCTGCTGGCCTCCAGAGCCCACCTCCGATCAGGTGCCTGTATTAATGCACACATACTACCAAGGTTGCTCCTGTTGCCGTATTAAGATGCAAGTTGATCCAGGCATGGCAGTACACACCTTTAATCCCAACACTCAAGCAGAGGTAGGTGGATCTCTGTGAGTTTGAGGCCAGTCTGTTCTACATAGTGAGTCCTAGGACAGCCAGAGATATGTAGAGACCCTGCCTCAAAAAAAAGATTCAAGCTGAGTATTTATGATGTATCAAAGTGTAAGAGAACTTAATATGACCAGACACAACAAACCACAGTGATTAAACTTCAATTGCAGGAATAATTCTCAAATGACTCGAAGTAAATCTGGCTCTGAATTCTTCCAGGATGAAGTTCCACCTGCCTGGCACAGAAACAGGGACCACATCTTTGTGAAGTGTGAAGCAAACACACGTGCAGTAAAATGGCCTGGAGAGTAGGCAGCTGGTGACAAATAGGGCCATGGACCCACCGACCGTCTGTACTGCTCAGCTTAGGCTGGGTCCTCCAGCTTTGGCTGGGCTTGTGTGGTAAGGATGCAGACCACATGGTCACCAGGGTAGGAAGACCCGTCCCTGTTACATCTGCTCTGTGCTGACAGTGTTTCAGGCCTGGGCCCAGTCTCCACTCAGGTTTTAGGCACTGTTACCTTGCATGCCCTTGGGCTGCTGTGTGGCCCACTCACCTGGCAGGATGCTGGGGGTGTCTCCCTGGCCATGGAAGGCTCCTGAGTCCAGCACTGGCTCTGAGTCTCTCTTGGGGAGCAGGATGTCAGCTCTGGCACCTTCCATAGTCGACCCAGACTCCAGTCCCCAGGCCTTGGGGATGGACAGAGGGTAGGAGATACACTGGAACCCACTAGGAGAGAGACAACAGATACCACAATGTGGGTCAAAGGGGCAGGGGTAAGGAGCTGGGACAGGGGGCATGCGGGACTGAGGCACCCACGCTCTGTGAATGTCCTGGCCCTGACCCTGGGACTTACTAGTCAAGGAATACTACTTAGTCATACTTGGAGGGTTGTGTGGGTCACCCTGAAATGCTTGCGGACCTGGGCCAACTAAGGTCAAAGAAGAACCAATCAGTGGGTCCCTTCCTGCTCCCTGTGTCTGGTGATCACTAGGCACATGGCTCCCTCCACCCCTCCACCCCTTGTCATTTCACCTGCTTCTGTTTCTACCTTTCAAAATCGAACTGGTTGGCACTGCATCCACGCCTGCTCCAGTTAGAGTGCATGGGAAAACATGGGCAAGGGAACCATGGGGCCATCCCGCTAGCCCAATCTTCTCAGAGGTGCCCCTTGGGGAAGATGTGGCATCCTTACAACGGTGTCTCGATGGGCGTCTCCATGTGATCTTCGTCCATCTTGAAGAAGCTGACCTCAGAGTACGCTGGGAGCTGTACATATCTGACCCCCGCTGAGATCTTCAGCATCCGGCCACTCTCGCCTTCCAAAGGCAGAAATCAAGAGACATACCATTTATACCATGTGAGGAACGAAAGATTCAGGCCAGGGGTGGGCTAAGGTGAAGGGTGTCTGTGCTGCCCTCTTCTAACTGACTGTGACTACATTCACGTGGAAGGTCCCTGGTTTGACTTCCTTGGATGAATGCCTGGCAGGAGGCTACTGCTGGCCTTGAACCCTCTAGGCTTCCTCTTTCACCTTGTACCTCTGTTCCTTCACCCTGAACCCTGGACACTGGTTCTTTAGCTCTGGATCTCATCCCCCTGAAGGCCATCTTGCCCTGGCCAACTGCCTTCATACTCTGGGAGGGTCTCCTCCTAACCGTCTGTGGGTCAACATGCTACAACTCGCCCTAGGTTGGTCGGTTGCTCATTCTGCTCATCTACCAGCCTGACCATGGAAAATAGGCTCAGCCTCCATCACACACCTCCCCAGTCACTAATATAGGGCCAGGTACCAAACTGACCCCTAGAAAGCATTTTCTGAGTGGACACACATACTGGCAGGCCCGTGCTCTAGAGCGCAGGGCCTGAGGAGTAGACAGCATCTACTCTGAGCCACAGAGCACAGATCCACTGGGCCCTTCTGGGGCAGGCAGAGGTAATGAAGCTAGGCGTGTGGCCACATCTGGAGGAACCAGCGAAGAGAAGCGTCGGCTAACATATGGGGCACACCCTGAGTGCTGTGGATGAGGCAAGACAGCTGTGAGGGTGACAGGCAGGGGTGATGGAACAGAGCCACAGTCTTGAGCTCCAAGCCCTGACACAACTTTGAGATGAGCCTTCAGACTTACAGGGGACTTAAGAAGTGGCCAGATTCCACATACTGAGGAAAAACTTAGACCAAGTGGCAGACCCCAGTGGGCTCTGACTTGAGGTGGCACTGGAGGGGGGCAGCTTAGACCCCTGGTGCTTCCCAGCAAATGCTCTCAACTAAAGAAAAAGGGCTGGAAATCTGGGAGAGGATGGAGGAGAGCCTCCAGAGTTACACAGCGTTCAGGGACATCAGAACACAGCTTTGGGCACACAAGCAAGAAGACTCCATGAGGCTAAGAGGGAACTAAGGAAAACTAAGGTGTCTGGGGCTCACGAGGCTGGGGATGGCCCACCCTTACTAGCCTAGACAGAAAGACTCAGAAGTCACAGGAGACTGGTTGGGGAGGAGTCCCGGGAACGAACTTTTACTGGATGGTGCTTGCTCCTTCAGCTCTGTTGGACAAATCTTGAAAACAAGGCCAAGAGCATTAAGCCTTTTCCATATAACTTAACTCTGCTTCAGAACACAAGCTCAAGAATATTTATAGGAATGCAAAAATATCTGGCATCCAACAAAGTAAAATTTATAATGCCTGGCATTGACTCAAAGATTACCAGGCATGCAAGGAATGCAGGAAAGTATGGTGTGTAATGAGGAGAAAAATAAGTTAGCTGCAAATGACCCAGGTGCTAGAATTAACAGCGAGGGACCCATTTATTACAATCCAGGCTAAGATGCCAACACTACAGCAGGGGAGGGAGGAAGAGCAGGAGTTCGGGGCCATCCTCAGTTCCAGAGTAAGTTTGAGACCCTGTCTCAAAAAACGAGAGTCGGGGACCAAGTTCTGTAACTGTGTTCTTACGCTCATCAGTGAAGCAGAGACACAGGAGGTGAAAACTACAGCGCTTCTGGGCAACTCCCTGTCTGCAATCCTAGAACTCAAAAGGTAGAGGCAGGAGGGTCTGCTGCAAGGTCCAGACCGGCTATGGTTACATGGAGAGATTCTGTAAACTACAAGTACTCTGTGTGTGATCCACACAAGGTAACTGATTCAGAAGGAAAGATCTGTGAGCCTGAAAATATAGCTAGAAATGTCATAAAAAAAAAAAACAAACACGGGAGTGGGGAAAGAAGGAAGGAGGGGCCCTGCAAACGGGGCGGGGGGACCATCTCTAGCAATCTCACACATGGGAAAGAGAACAGTGGCAGCAGAGAAACTGCTGGGAGAGAAATGGCTGAAGATCTTCCTAATGTGAGGAAACTGGAAGTCCGTGGACGTAAGAAGCTCCAGGCAAGTGGAGGAGATGGAACAGCAATTCTGTAACATGGAGGACGAACCAGCATCCTACAGCTGGGGGACACTCGAGGCAGCCCTCAAAGGGGACGGAAATCAAGGGGCTTCCAGGCATCAGCAGTCTTTATTACAGGAACTGCGGAGGCCCTGGGAAGACGACCCTTGTTGGAGACTCCATCTATAGGAGGCAGGAGAACGAGGAGAGAGTTAATGAGAATTACAACTAATGAGGCAAGGGGTCAGCAGGGTGGCTCAGCAGGCAAAGGTGCTTGCTTGTTGTCCACCCTGACGAAGGGAAACTGGGGGACAGATAGGGGGCACCAGGGTGAGTCTGCATCTACTATATAGATATGCCAAATGGAGCCTGGCCTTCAATCCCAGCACTCGGGAGGCAGAGGCAGGCGGATCTCTGTGAGTTTGAGGCCAGCCTGGTCTACAGAGCAAGTTCCAGGACAGGCTGCAAAGCTACACAGAAAAAACTCTGTCTTAAGAAACCAAAAAGAAGCGGGGGTGGGGGGGACGGACTAAAAATACAGAATTCTTCACCCAGCATCTCATAAACTATGTGATGGTGGTATACAACTATTGATGTACATGACTGCTGGTGTACGCGACTGTTGCTGGTGTACGCGACTGTTGCTGGTGTACGCGACTGCTGGTGTACGCGACTGCTGGTGTACGCGACTGTTGCTGGTGTACGCGACTGCTGGTGTACACGACTGTTGCTGGTGTACGTGACTGTTGATGTGTACGCGACTGTTGGTGTACACGACTGTTGGTGTACACGACTGTTGATGTGTACGCGGCTGTTGGTGTACACGACTGTTGATGTGTACGCGACTGTTGGTGTATACGACTGTTGATGTGTACAACTATAACTGCAGCACCAGAAGGTAGAGAAAGGAGGATTTCAGGAGTTCAAGATCATCTTCAGCTATGTATGGAGTTTGAAGACAGCCTAGACTACATGGGATCCTGTTCAGCCTCCACACTCCCCCAAAAAATCTCCAAAAGATATAACAAAATCAACAGCAAATGTTAACCATATTAATAAAGCAATTATAGTCAAATATCTCATGGGAAACAATCATTTATTAATAGGTTTTAAAAAACATTGTAAGACTTATGCATGAAAAATGCACATTGTCGAGAGAAATCAAAGTGTTTTCTGTCTATGAACTGTAGGCTCGGTGCTAAGAGATGGGTCACTGTGACCCCATTACATTCCCAGCAGGTTTCTGTTGTTAGAGAAATTTATAGGGAAATGTAAGGGACCCAAAGAGCCACACAGTTTTGGGAAAGAACAAGGCTGGAGAGTGAAGGCTAAGGTCGAGATGGCATGGTGTGGAGCAGATTAGAGTTACCTGATAAAAGTGGGCATACAGTCAGCTGGCAGAACTGAGAGACAGACCCTCCCAACAGTCATGGCTGGTGGATGGGCCAGACACTTGTCTTAGTCACAGAAGTTAGCTCAAAATGGAACAACAACCTAAATATGAACGCTAAAATAACAAAACTTTTATAAGAAAACAGTCTCTGCTGGGTAGTGGTGGCCCATGCCTTTAATCCCAGAGGCAGAGGCAGGCAATCTTTATGAGTTCGGTCAGTCTGGTCTACAGAGTGAGTTCCAGGCCAGCCAGGCTACACCCTGTCTTGAAAACCAAACCAAACCAAACCAAACCAAACCAAACCAAATAAACAACAGCATGTGTGTGTATGTGTGTGTATATGCATACTGATTAAATATTAACAGCACATATATACTGATTAAATATATACATACATACACACATATACACACATATACTGATTAAATATATACACACACATATATACTGATTAAATATATATATACATACATACACACACATATATACTGATTAAATACATGCATACATACACACATATATACTGATTAAATATATACATACACACATATACACACATATACTGATTAAATACATACATATACATTATATACTGATTAAACATATACATGCATATATACACACATATACTGATCAAATATGTATACACACATGTATACTGATTAAATATATACATACATATATACATGTACACACATATATACTGATTAAATACATGCATACATACACACATATATACTGATTAAATATATACATACACACATATACACACATATACTGATTAAATACATACATACACATTATATACTGATTAAACATATACATACATATATACATATACACACACATATACTGATTAAAATCAAAGGAAAAACTTTCGTCGATGTCCTCCCGCACCGAGTGCTCCTGTTTGGGACACGCAAACAGAACGTTCCATTATCTAGACTCTTGACAGCTCTGTCTCAGTTCTAGATAGAAAATGACCTCTCTGGCCTCTTAGAAATCTTATCACAGGCTGGGCCTGGTTGCACAGGCTGATAATTCCAACTAGTCAGGAGGTTGAGGCAGGAGGATTAACAAAAAGTTCAAGGCCTTAGCTGGGTGGTGGTTGTGGAAGCCTTTAGTCCCAGCACTCGGGAGGCAGAGGCAGGTGGATCTCTGAGTTTGAGGACAGCCTGGTCTACAAAGAGAGTTCCAGGACAGCCAGGGCTACACAGAGAAATCCTGTCTCGAAAAACAAAACTAAAATACATTGACCCTATGATGCCGCAATGCAACTTGCAGGTATACACAGAGAAATTAAAATCTGTGTGTACAAAAACTTGTGAAGTATTCACAGCAAGACTGTCCCTGATAGTAGTCTGGACGCCAGGCAGTCAGGTGTAGCCCTATCTGGGCGACAGGATGCCGCTGCGCAGTGTAGAGGATAGAGCCACATTGCATCCCCAAACACGCAAATGGGAAGTAAGCAAAAGACCGCACAGGGTACGAAATGCTCAAGAGCCAATCTACAGAGACAGGAAATGAAGTAGGGACTGGAGTGGGCACAAGACTGGAAACAGGATCTAGAGGCCTGGACCTGTTCTGAAAGGGCCCTGGGGTGTTGTGGCAGCTGCCCCTATCTGTATACTCAAGAGAGATCACGGAATCTAACTGGATGGGAAGGTACGTGCCTGTAATCTCAGCTCTCCGGAGGCAACAGGAGGATCAGTTCAAGGCCTGCCTTAGCTTCAAACTGAGTCTGAGGCAAGCGTGGTCAGTTTCCAGGGATCTGATACCCTCTTCTGGCCTCCGTGAGCGCCTGCATGCGTGGACACATACCCACACAGAGACACACAACACACATAGCCATATTATTTTTTAAAAATGAGATCATGGAATCATTTAATACTGAAGTTAATGATATGTAAATGATACCTAAGATTTTATTTTTAATTATATGTTTATTTGAGTGTCTGTGTGCACACAAGGACAAGTGCCCAAGGAGGCTGGCGGTATCAGGCCCCCCAAGCTATTAGCCCTGAGCTGTTATGGGTGGATCTGAGACACCTAGTGTGGGTACTACAAATTGAACTTGGATCTTCTGCAGAAGCAGTCTGCAATCTTAATTGCTGAGCCATCTCTCCTGTCCATATATGTATTATGACTTTCTCACTGAAGCACTGAACTTGGGTGAATTAATAAATACCAGGAATTAACATGGTAGGTAGGGCTTCAGGAAGTCAGTGGCTCATACCTTGTCTTGGTATGAGGTTCAGTTACCTAAAAAAAGAAAGCTGATTACCCGAGAGAGGAAATGAGAGGGTGCCTTTGGCCTAGCTGAGTTATGGTCTATGTTGACTTGCTCAGCCAAGCTGACTGTATATTATTATCTTCTATGCCCTGTTCAGTGTGCACTAGTCAGCGACTCTGCATGTGCCAAAACACATGCTCAAGTGTGCAATGCACACTCTCAAGGCACACATATAAACATATGCACGCACACAAAAGACCTGTGTGTCTTCTACCTGTGTGTCTTACAGGCCTCCTGAGCCTTCTGCTGGCACCAGGCTGCAGGGACTTCTGTAATATTATCTCAGGAGCAACCCGACCACCTTACCCAGGTTTGCTCTACTTGAAAGCCTGCAGTCCATTTCTCCCGGAAGAGTAGGATCAGCACCCTGAAGACACTTACTCTTGGCAATTTCTCCATCATCCTGCTGCAGCTGCACATTCAACGTGAAGGGAGAGCCTTGGAACACCTCCAGTACCTCTGGGCCCACGATCACAATTTTCTTAGCCTGTGCTGGGGGCAGAACAGGGTTTTAGTGTTTGTAACAGCTGAGCCCAAGGGCTCCAGCCCTTTCTCACCCTGTTGGAGGGTCTACTAAGATGCTGCTGCTAGGACTGAGGCCCCCAGGAACCTATTGGGCATAGGCAGGCTGGTTGAAGGTTTAGATGAAGGACCCATGTCCTTGGCTAGGCTCAGCCCTGGGACAGCATCTCTGTCTTAAGTCTCAGGAGAGGCCACTAGGAACAACACAGAAGCAAAGGATGGCTAGGAAGGTACCAAGCCGAGGTAGACGTGGGTCACTCTGCAGTCAGGTCAGAGTGTAGCGGTCTCAAGAGAGCCTCATGGAGGCCACACAGGGAGGCAGGGGTGGGGGTGTCAAACCAGCATAGTTTGACCAGGTAACTCCAAAATCCTGTGGCTAAGAGGCCCTATGTCTGGGAGGTATCTATGGTTGAGAGGTACTGTGGCTAGGGGAGCCCGTGGTGTGGCTGGAGCTGGAAGACCCCCATAGGTGGGAGACCCACTTGGGTCTGCATAGCCACAAGTCCTTTTGAAATCAACTAGAATATGCTTTGTCTGAAAAGGGATGGGATGGATCTTATGCTCCTCAGCAGACCCCACCAGGACAACGGGAAGGCTGGGAATGCCTACCTGCTGGGTGGCCATTGATAAACATCCCACAGTAAGTGACTCCCGAGCAGTGTGCCAATCTGCCCAGCCCACTGAAGACATCATTGTGCCACTGCCCCTGCACAGAGAACAAGGTGGCCTTAGAGGATGGCTCCAAGGAGTCCTAGGCCCCTTTACTATAGGAATGTCCAAGGCTGTGAGGTTCATGCAGCCTTACTTTGGTGGCGAAGCGCGACATTTTGTTAGGAGGGATCCGATTTGCTTTGCTAAGTGTTTTCCCCTTGAATTTTAATGACACCAGGAAAGAGGGGAACAAAGGCACAGCGTACACCGTGCAAACAAAACACCACTGAACAGGCGCACCGTGTGCACAAAGGCCTCCCAATACAAAGATGTGGCACTTAGTTGATCGCAGGAAACCTGAACCCGCGACTACAATGGGCCAGGACCAAGGTGGGCTGCTCTGATGCCCAGAGCTTTTAGATGAAAAGGCAATTACAACACACAATTTGAGCACACACACCTCGAGTGGGGGCAAGGTGCCGCTCACAGTGCCCCGTTTGCGTCCTCTATAGTACACCTGGGTTCCCAAGCAATTGTGTGAAACAGCAGGAGGATTACTGCCATAGAAAAAATTTAAGATCAGAATGGTGCTCTATTTGGTTATGAATTACTTGTATTGGAAGAAAGTTAACAAAAGGCTTGGTTTAAGTCATTCTTCTGCTGAAGTTAATTGGGCACCAGCTGCCCTACTCTGTCCTGGACTCCTGCAGCCTGGGCTCCTGATGGAGGGGAGCACTGCCTAGTGTCTGAGAATGCAGACAGAATAGGAAAGTGGGTGGTGGGGTTCACTCAGGCCTAGAGATCTGAGAGGCTGTGGTGAGAAGCTGGTGAGAAGGTTGAAGCCCTCAGTAGGGTCAGAGTCCCAAGAATCTGCGAGGAAAGCTTTTCATGGGCGGCCGAGAGGGCAGCCACCACAAGCTAGGGAGCTGGATTTCCCGAGGTGTGTGCAAAGACAGGCTAAGTGCTGGGCACAGGTGCCCACGGGTGCCTTGCCGTCCTTGAGACTCTCATGCCTCTAGGCCTTATTCACAAACAACAGGCAGCCAGGCAGCGCTAGGGGCCCCCTTCAGTTCCAGAGAGGTCAGGAGCCAGCTGTGGAACATGTGGGCGGGGCCTGGTTGCTCACCCAGGTACAAGTCCCTCTGGGATGTGGATGGGCCTTCATCCTGAGAGTTGTCAAGTTACTCCTGAGAGAGGCTCCATGCTTTGAGGGGCTCCATTCCTCCAATCCTGAGGTTCCAAACTCTGGTCCATTCCTGGAGTGGCTGATGGTGGGTGCGCAGTTGACAATTGTCCTGACCCTGCAGATGTCACTCACCCTGCCATTTCACTTGATCCACGTCTTGTGCTATGAAGAGTGTCCACTCCGCACTGACCATGACACTGATCACGCACTGACTGTGACACTGATCCACGTCTTGTGCTATGAAGAGCGTCCACTCCGCACTGACCATGACACTGATCACGCACTGACTGTGACTCTGATCCACGTCTTGTGCTATGAAGAGCGTCTGCTCCGCACTGACCGTGACACTGATCCACGGTCATGTGCTATGAAGAGTGTCTGCTCCACACTGACCGTGACACTGATCATGCACTGAACGTGGCACTGATCCACGGTCTTGTGCTATGAAGAGTGTCTGCTCCACTCTGACCGTGACAGTCCTTTCTCGTCACTGCAGACGTGGATGCACCGGGTTTGGGGAAAAAGGAGCCAGGTCAGCTCTGGAGAGCACAGTGAGTCTCAGAAGCCCTGCTCAGGAGCCTGGCAGGTGACCCACAGCACAGGGCCTTCCCTTGGCCTGGCTTTCTTCGCCGTGAGAAGTCAGGTGTCCCATCAAGCAGGCCAGCCTAGCACCTTCCCCATCCCTTCCTGTGCCTGCTGTCCTCACTGCACCCAATCCTTCCCTTTCTGGCCCGATTCTCTCAAGGGTGGCAACAGCACACAGATGGCTGGTGATACCGCAGGAGGGGCCACCTTGGCCCTGGCTGGACTCGCAAATGTCCTGGGCTCTGAGCTCACTGGACCCACTTGGGCTTCCTGGAAAGTGCCAGTGTGGACCTTCAGAAAGGAGGGAGGACGGGCCGTGGGCAGGCCAGGGCGTGTGACCAGGTGCCTGCTCACAGGGTGGTTGCCATGGAGGGAAGTAGCAAGAAGGGAGTGCCCGGGCACCGACAGAGATAAATACAACGATGTGGAGGTGCCTGCTGGCAAGGCCGATGGGCCGGGCAGTGGTGGGTGAGGAGCTGTGGGCGGCACTAGTCTGCCACGGGAGTCTCTCAGCCAGTTGCTCCCTGGCATCTCCAGAGCAGCTAACAGTGCTTACCACCCATAACAGTTGCCATTGTCCCCGAGGTGGGTGGCCAGTGGGCTGCATGCTAGAATCAGAGCCCATATGGTAAGAGCTGGAGCTTGGTGTTCCTGGCTTCAGGTCAGTACTTGGATGCTACAGATGTGTGCAAGAGACAAAAGACACTAACCTATGGACTTGCCTGACTGATATTATAGATTCTATACTGGACATCTGCATCCAGACCACGAATAGATACTGAAACAACTCTGAAAGTGTCAGGCAGCTTCCTGCAGATAACAAAACCCTTCCACGGTCTCCCTGTACCAGCCCAAGGAGGCAGCTGGGCAGGTACTGGTCTGGACTTGAGAGCCAAGAGTTGTGAGCATCCAGAGAGGCTTGAGGGATGCCCAGGCAATACTCAGTCTGCAAGTCTCAGCCACTGGGAGGTGGAGCAGGGCACCACACTATCACCACAAAACCCCAGGGTATTAGAGACACCTGCTCTCCTCTTCTCTGCCCAGCTGCTGCCTGACACGCAGGGAAGGGTGGATATATATGATAGGACTGAAGAGGGTGAAGACGATGACATAGCAAGTTATACAAGTCATTGAGGTGCATTCAGGTTTGCATCCCAAACCAAGCAAGCACACGTCAAACAAGGAGCCAGTGTCAGGAAAGGGATACACGGATAAGAGTCTATCAGTCTGTTCCATGACTGCCACAGTGACCCCAGAGAATGGAGCTCAGTCCTCCTCCTGCCCTGGTCTTCCACAGCTGCGGACCACATTTATGACAGTGAGCTGCAGGAAACAAACGCTCGCTCGGCCCCTCTCGGTGTGGGAAACATTTTCCAGTTAACCCACGCCACTTTCTTCCTATACTTTTACTAGAAGTGGCTCCGTGGTGTCCAGACCATAGATGTGGATCTGGGTGCAAGTCCAACCTGGGCACAAGTTCACCTCTTTGTTCTCACACATCTTGGTCCTTACTGGGAGGACAACAAGCTCCAGACCTTTACCGAGTTGGCCTCAATGATGTTACGGCATGGAGGAGGCAATTATTACTGATTGCTGCTAAGCCTGGGGACTTCTGCTCCCCTTGGAGCACCTATGAAGGGTTGGCTCGGCTCTCCTCCTGGGGTTGTGACTGTCGTGAAGCTTGGTTTCCAGCTTGCAGAGATGGCAGGTCCAGTAACAGGAGGCCTGCGGGATGTTGGATTTGACTGGTCTGCATCCTCCTAGGATTTCGGCATGTGGAACATGTAGGACACGGACATGCTGGCGCTAGTGCACCAACTGTGGCTGTGATGGTTCCAGGAGGGGCCACTGTGGGGAGCAGCTAACTCTCGAAGAGCTACCCCCGGACATGAGGGCTCCACTGTCCCACATTCCCGGGATCTTCAGTGGTAGAGACAGGCCTGAGTCAATGCTTTTTCCATCCTGGCCTGGAGCTTCTTGGCCCAAGGAAGGCAGGCAAGTGATACAGGAGGTAGCCACAGGCCCCGTCTTCATCTGTCTGGTGACATGCAGGCCCCTGAGACTCTCCAGACGTGCCAGCAAAGGGGGAAGCTGAGAACTGCCGCAGATGAAGACGCCCATAAGGCTAGCCACCTGTCTCCTTTGTGCACAGGTGTGCCAAACAGCAGGTTGCCCTCTGGGAAAACCAATATGGGAAATGCTGGTTTTCAGGAAGCCAGAGCTTTAGTGACATCCACGTCCATGCTGTGGGAGAGGATGGACTCACGTTCCCACGACTGCTATGCCAGCTGCCGGCCGTCTCTGGACCCAAGCCCTTCCTCCTAGAACCTCTGCTCAGGGAATACTGGGTATTGGTTTAAGTGACTGGGGACTCTGGCAGACACTAGGAAATGCAGAAATGGAAGCCTCCGTTGGTTCCTGTTGGGAACTTCAAACAGTGCAACCACTGCGGAAAAATCTGGCAGCTCCATAAAAACTTAAAAATGTAATTACCACATGATGCAGCTATTCCACTGCTGGGTCTACATACCCACAGGCTTGCACACAAATGCTCAGAGCACAATTCCTAGTGGTTCAGAGAAGGCGCAGTTCAAGGGTCCGTTGAAATGAATGAGCAAAGGAAATGGAACATGTATATATGTGGGCCCCTCGGCCTTCAAGAGGGGGCTCCTGAACATGCTTCAGTGAGAATGGGCTTGAGGCCATGATGCTCAGTGAAAAATGCCAGTCAGGAAAGGAGTCAAGAAAGGTGGGGGCCGGGGCTCCAGGGCAATGGGGAGTTGGGTTTAATGGGACAGAATCTGATTACATAGATGGGTTTTGAATGGACAGTGGCAAAGGCCACACAATAATTTAAGCATTTAATGCCACTGAACTAGACACTTAAAAATGGACAAGACGGTACACTTCCTGTTTGCGTCTGACTAATGACACACAAAGAACAGTGTGCCTGCGGGAAGCATGTCTCGTGGCCCCTCCCGCCTCGTGGCCTCTCCTGGTTGATATCTCTGTCCTCCACTCCGTGCAGATGGTGGCCCCTAGCGTGGAAAAACCCAGTGCAGAGATGGTCATCAGCTGAGCTGGAGCCTCATGAAACCCTCTGTCTTCAAACCTTCTTGGCTAATGAGAGTTGAGTGACAGACTGGGTAATTACCTTCTCTCACTTAGGCAGCATGTGAAACCTTTTATCCCCTAAGAAGTGCAGGTCAGGGAAGCTGTCTCAGACTGGCAGTCAGTTCTGAGTTCCAGATGGCACTGGATAGAATGTCTACCTTTCCTCTTGGCCTTGGGTGTCCTTTTCTGGTCAGTGTCCATAGGACCCTTGAAGGTGCTTTTCTTTAGCCTTACCAAGGCCACTGTAAAAACATGGAATTTAGGACCTATATGTCCAGATATGGTCCCTCTGATCACTCCTGAGGACTTGATGGTGGCTGCTTTAGCCCATGTGATTGCTTTTTGGTGCAGCCTGTGTGTCAAAGCCAAAGGCCTATATATCCCTTCCTCTAAACGCTGCCCAGGTCTCCTGCTGACTAGCCACAGAGTGCTGGGGTAGGGGGGGCAATGCTGAGGATTAAGCCTTCATGAAGAGGTCTGTGGAGTTCAAGTCCTGGATCCGGGAGAAAAAGCCACGGCAATTTCAACAGCTTTAGCCTGTGTGGCAGTCTCAAGGCCTGTGCTCATTGTTTAGGCATTTAGGCCTCTCTGCTGCTTGCCTTAAGGCCCAGAGCATTTCCACCCAAACTTGGAACAAGGACCCAAGGCTGGGCTGCCGCCGGTGAGCAGATCTGGACTGCCCCCTGGTGGATATACTGTAGGCTGTTGGTGGTGAAAGGAGGCATTCACGTCTCTTGGCCACGGCAACACATTTTCAGGTTTCAGAAAGGGAAGGCCTGAGGCCGGGCCCCATAAATCCTAGCCACTGATGGTCAGTGGCCATCAGGGAAGTAGTCATGACCAGCAGTGAAGCTGGGCTGGAGGTCTGAGTACTTGTGGGACAGAACTGTCTCTGAAAACAGGGCTGGAGAGAGTTCTAAGCCGCCTCTCACTCCGGCGCAGGTGGCGGTGTGAAGGTGACTTTCTGGGCTGTCCATGGCAGCTATCCATTATACCTGAGCAGTGGGGTGGGTTCTGGAGGGACCCAGTGGCACAAGGCCTCTCCCAAATCCCAGGGATGGAAGGGTCAGGTATATGGACTGGGAAATAAAGTCTGGGCCCCAGTTTCCCCATTTATAAAATGTAGCAAACAGCTCCTTCAGAGAGATGTGGGGAGCTTATGTGAACCCACAAGTGGAGGGTTTGGAACAGGCCTGGCCTTACTCACTGGAAACTAGACACCGCGTAGTGTGGCCATAGTCATGGTGGACTCGGTCAGGGTGCAGGACAGGCAGGAGAGACGTTGACTTCTTTGGGTCCTCACTACCATTGCACACTGATCCTGCTTGGGACATATTTGAGGATAAAGGGGGAGGGACCAGACTGGTGACTGTTCGTAGCAGCACATACAGTGACAAGCACTGTCTCAGGTACAGATCAGAGGCAGCGTCTGGGCCAGCAGTGTCCACGCAGACTCCAACAGCACTGACCAGACCAGTCCTGCTGGCTCCTTTTTATGTCAACTTGAGACAAGATAGAATCATCTGACAGAGAATCTTAATTGAGAAAACGCCTCCGTAGGATCAGCCTGAAGACAAGTCTGTAGGACATTTTCTTGGTTAATGATTGATGTGGGAGGGGCCAGCTCACTGTGGGCAGTGCCACCCCTGGGGCTGGTGGTCCTGGGTGCTGTAAGAAAGCTGAGCAAGCCTTGGGGAACAAGCCAGTAAGTAGCGTTCTTTTATGACCTTCGCTTCAGCTCCTGCCTCCAGGTTCCTACCCTGACCATTCTTCAGTGATGGGCTACTACCAGGAAGTACAATACTAATCAAGTTCTTTTCCTTCCCAAGCTGCTTTTGCTCACGGTGTTTTATCACAGCAATAGGAACCCTACTAAGTCACGGCTAAGATCTACCCAAGCAGAACTCTTCTGTTCTGTAAACAGACATGGGCACCCGTGCCAGGCTTCTATGGCCCCGCAGTTCTGTGGGAGCTGCCCTACACCACTCCATTTCCATTAGGGAGTCGGGCTCCAAACAAATCCCTAGGCAGTGGGCACAATGCCAGCAGTCAGCAGAGGGAGCAGCGGGCGCTATGGCAAGAGGGTTTTGTGGTTCCCTAGGGTCAAAGGCCTCTAGGAGTCAGCAGGGACCACTCTGAGCGTCCTGCATCTGGGCAATCTCCTACAGGAGTTCCCCCACCCCCACACCCGCCCTAGACCTGTGGCTACCCTTCTTCCCCGTTCTGTAGGAACTGGGCGGGGCTCTTCCTACTTTCAGGGGCCTGTTCCTTCCAGTTGTTACTCTGTCACTTGAGAAATCTGGGAAAAATATGAATCACACTATCCTGGTTCCTGTGACGCAACAAGAAATTAGTAGCTGAGGCAGTTCTGACACTCCGGAGTCTGAGGCCTAAGCGTATCCTTCCTTCCTGTTGGAAACCCCCAATAGAGCTCACATCACTATCACAGCAAGCGGCAACACCTGGGCTTTTTGCCTTGGATCCCGCCGGGGCCTCACCTGTGACAACTGCAGTAGCAGGGATGCCCGATTCCAGGAGCCTTAAGCTCCTGCTTCCTGCTAGGAGTTGGCATGCAGTCAGCGCAGAGATGGTGGAGCTAGCCCTGCCCTGTCTCAGGACCTCCCTGCACTGTAATCCGTGTTTCTTCTTGTGCCCCTCCTGGTAGCGTGCCAGTTTTCCTGGCCAATAACTTCGCACTTCTCAGTAATGGCACTAGTACAGTCTTGTCTTCTGCCCACAAAACTCACAGTATCTCATTCCTCCCATGTGGACAAGAGCAAGCATGTGGACAGAGCTCAGGCTTCCTTGTCAACCTGACTCACAGCACAGGGCTCATTCCACACGAGGACTTAAACAGAAGGAAAGTCAGCACCCCGGGTGGGGCGTGGGGCGTGGGGTGTGAGAATGAGCTGAACATGAGCTCAGTACTTCCACAGCATCGCCACATGAAGTATGGGTAAACACCACCAAGACTCCCAGCCCTTTCATGACCCCATCCCCACATGGCAATAAGCGCAGTACCTCGTAAGTGGAGCCGTCAGCACAGCACAGCACCCCATGTCCTTGACGCTGGTCTCGAACCCAGTCGCCTTCGTACTTGTCACCATTCCTGAGGGCACAGCACAGGACCCTCAGGTAGGCGCCAGGTGGCTGCAGTGACTCAAACTGACTCCTCTGACCAGGCACAGCAAGCACACCAGGGCCAAGGCAAAAATAGGCCCTGAGCAGATGGTCTGTGAGCTCCTGACTTGCCAGAGCTGGCTCAGGAGGATTGGTGACAGCCGGGGACATGTCTGCACGTACCCCATCTCCCCTATGGCAGGTCCCACTTTCCAGAACATGCTGGGCCCTGTGCAGGAAGGACATGTTTGGCTTCTGCTATTCAAAATAGAAAATGACAGAAAGAATGAAATGGGAGAGGTGACTGCCTGTTTCAAGGGCAGGTGTGATCCACCTAGGAACCCGAACACAGGCTTAAGGTCTCTGACCCTTTGCCTGAAAGATAATGGCATTGCTGGCCAGTGCCCAAACCTGGGTTCACTCTTGTACCAGCCTGACCCAAAGATGCTAGGTCCTGGATTCAACAAGTGTGGGAGGAGGCAGATGCAGACAGACACAGACACACGTACAGACAGAGACATAGAGAGAAACAGCAAAGGCTCAGAACACACCTTAGGCCTGGGTACTAGTTAGCACTTCTACAGAATCTACCTACCAAAGCCCTAAGGCCATCAGCACTCTAGGAGTTATGGGGGCCACTCCTGTTCCCAAGCACCAGCTTATACCTCTCAGACCCATACTCACTTAAAGATCATCTGCCCACGGCCATGTCTCTTGTTGTCATGGAAGGAACCCTGGTACACCTGCCCATCCTGGTCCTCCAGAAACCCCTGTCCTAATGAAAGAACCAAAACATACCAACTTTACTCCACACCCCCTGCTAGTGATGACCCTTCTCCTTTCCTCCCTTAGCCTCCTGGAGTAGCTCTGCCTGCACCCAATCCGGGCAGAAGGCTGAGTACCAGCGTCCCCTATAGAGGCCAGGCTGCCTCCTAGGCTGCTGATTAAGCCTGCTCAAACAAGAAAGGTAGATGCATTTTGGGACAGATAGTGCCAGTGCCCAGGTCAGCAAGGCTGATACAGGTTCTGAATGGGGCCAAACAGAAGGTCCTCCAAACCACCTCTGTTTTTTGGTGGATGGCTTAGATGTGGGATTAAGAGTCTCTCCTGAGCTTCCCTGAAAGGTTTGACAACCTGAAAGGGCAGGGAATCATCAATGAAGATGTGGCCTTGTTGAACTGTCAATATGCTCAGGTTCTGGACAATTCAGAAACTAAGAGATATTTCTGTTCCCTAACTCCAGCAAACCTGGAGAAAGAAAAGGAAGTTCCCTCTACACTCATACACACTAGAGCCTGCTAGGTTCATTTACATGGTATGGCTAACAGGAAGGGCAGGGCACTTGCCACAGTGCCCAAAGGGGCAGGTACCCCTTCAATCTGCCCCTTATCCCCCTTAGCTTGCAGACCACAGAGGAAGTGACAGACTTAGGCCCTTAGAGAATTCTTAGGAGAGTGGATCTGGTCAAACCATGACTGTAGCACTCTGAAGCAAGGAGACCTGTCTTAGGCCAAGCTGGAGGACCCATGATAGTCATTAAATAACTGTGAGCTGCTTTAACCTGTACGTGGCTCAAATGCACTATCAGCAGAGACGAGGCGCCAATTCCTGTCTTTCTCTACCCTCTAAATTCAGACAGACTACATTAGTGGTTCCACCACCCGAGCACACACAGGGCGCCAGACCTTCCCTCAGGCCGTGGAGGAGCTCCCCTTCATAGTGACCTCCGACTTTGTACTTCATGATGCCATGTCCTTGTGGCTCTCCTAAGACAAACTGTCCAGAGTAGGTGTTTCCTGGTGCAGATAAGAGGGAAGAGTCAGCTGCTTTCTGTTTCTCTGCTATGCCCTAACCAGTAGCAGTGGAGATGCCACTTTCTTTTCTTTCCTCCTTCTTTTTTTTTTTTTTTAAAGTTATTTTGAGACAGGGCTTCTCTGTGCAGCCCTGGCTGTCATAGAATTCAATCTGTAAACCAGGCTGGCCTCAAACTCACAGAGCTCAGTCTGCCTTTGCCTTGCCAGTGGGGTACTAAAGGTACAGCTACGACACCTGGTTGGCGTCTGTCTCTTACTCTTTGGACCGTGAGGAAGGAAATGACGCAGTGGACTAGTGTTTCCTGTCCTGGCTGAGGTGGCAGGCTGTCCTGGGAAACCTCCCTGTAGCACTGATGGTACAGAGTGAAGGATGAGCCTTCTTTCTCAGCTCTTTAAAAACAACTCAATGCTGAGCCCAAGAGAAAAGTTCCCCTGAGCATCAACAGCCCGCTTAATGTGAGGCCTGAAACTCTAGGAAATACCCCATGGCAAGGAAGCTATGGAGCAGTTTTCCCATTCAAGGATACAGCGTGACTGAAATATCTTTTGTTTGTTTGTTTTGAGTGTTGGGATGAAAGGCATGTGTCACCATGTCTGGCCTAAAATATCTTTAATATGGAAGAAAATTGTACCTTTGCCCTGGTAAATCTTTATTCCACTTAGGTGTTAAGGAGAAGACCAAGCTGTCTATAGAGGTAAGTGCAGAGCCTCAACTAGGAGACCCCAGGGCACCTTTCACTAGGTTGGCCTTCCACGGGCATGGAGGTCATCCAGGTTGTAGGCTCACACTGCCTTGCCCCCGCTTGCAAGCTGTTGTTCTCTCGTTAGTGGAACCGGAGGCCCCTGCTTACACACAGCACTTTGTGTGTCCATAAACTCTGAGAGCGTTTATGGGTACAGTCAATGCCCACCTATGTTCAATGCTAACCTGACCAGGCCCAGTGTTGGTAGCCTTCCCCAGTGATTTCTCCATCCACAAATTCACCTTCATAATAACTTCCATCTTTAAACAAGAGTTTCCCGTGACCTGGTAAGAGAAATCAATGTGCAGTCAGCTGGGGAGTGGGAATGACCATAGAACAACCCAGTCAGTTGGGATTGTTTTTCAGTGAAAACTTCAGTTGCTATGGTGGTGCAGATCTGTAACCAGGCTACTCAGGAGTCTGAGCCAACCTGGGCAACATACTGGAAACTCGGATAAACAAAACAACCCACCGAAACATTCCTGAACGCCAGCTTCTCAGTTGAAATGACCACAGAGGCGTGAGCTGTGCAGATCAGACCTTTCCTCTATCCACACGAGGAGACAGGACACATATGTGTGTGTGTGTGTGTGTGTGTGTATGTGTGTGTGCCATGCATAAGAGTGCCCATGGAGACTGGAGTGGGTGTCAGGTCTCCTGGAGCTAGAGCTATGGGCTGTTGTTATAAGCTACCTGAGATGTAGCTGCTAGGAACTGAACTCAGGTCCTCTGCAAGAGTAGTAAGCACTCTTAACTTTTGAGCTATCTTTCTTAAAAGTGGGTGCTTGGGGCTGGAGAGATGGCTCAGCAGTTAAGAGCACCAGCTGCTCTTCCAGAGGACCTGGGTTCATTCCCAGCACCCACATGACAGCTCATAACTGCCTGTAACTCCAGTTCTAGGGAATCTGGCACCCTCACACAGACATACATGCAGGCAAAACATCAATGCATATAAAGAAAAGTAAATCTTAGGGAAAAAAAAAGTGGGTGCTATTCAGATAACTCTGAAAATAGTTCTAGATGCCTGATGGCTCACACCTTTAATCCCAGCGATCAGGAGGCAGAGGTAGGTAGATCTCTGAGAGTTTGAGGCTAGCACGGTCTACATAGTCAGTTCTAGGATAGTTTTTCACAAAACGTGAAAGGTGCTAAGGAGATAGCCTAGTTGTAGAGCATTTGCCTAACAGGTACAGGCCCTGGGGTCACAAGAAAACAAAAAAGTAAAAAATAAAACACTGGTAAAGGCTGGGTCCAGTGGTGCACTTGGGAGGCTGAAACAAAAGGATTCCAGGTTCAAGGCCAGTCTGAGCTATATAGCAAGACTGTGCCTCAGAATGAACAGAAAAAACAACAACAAAAAAAACACAGAAAATGAGAATATTTTGGTAGCCAGTAGATAGGAAAAGCCCTCTAGTGTACTGAGCGGGTAGAATTGACAAACTGAAAAAATCCAGGAAGCCCAGTCACTGGAAAAGTCTAGACCCAGTACTTTCCTGTGCTTAGGTTTTCTGAAAATATGGTCATTTCTTCTTTTTTTGTCTGTGTAGTCCTGGCTGGCCTGTAAAATGTTCTGTAGACAAGGCTAGCCTTGAACTCAGAAATCTGCCTGCCTCTGTCTCCCAACTCCCAAGATTAAAGATGTGTACCACCATTGCCACTGGCTAATTATTTCCTTTTTCTTTTCTTTCTTTTTTTTTTTTTCTTTTTTGAGACAGGGTTTCTTTGTATAGATAGCTCTGGCTATCTTGGAACTAACTCTGTAGACTAGGCTGGCTTTGAACTCAGAGATCTGCCTGCCTCTACCTCCTGAGTGCTGGGATTAAAGGCGTGCGCCACTGCTTCCTAGGATGTGTGATGTCCTTCTGTATATGTGTTGCTTTTATTGGTTAATGAATAAAGCTACTTTGGCCTATGGCAGGGCAGAATATAGCCAGGCTGGAAGAAGTATCTATAGAGAGTAGGCGGAGTCAGAAAGACACCATGAAGCTGTGGGAGGAAGACACCAGAACCTTACCCAGTAAAGCACGGTCTCATGGTGATACACAGTTTATTAGAAATGGGCTAATTCAAGATGTAAGAGCTAGCTAGAAATACACCTGAGTCACTGGTCAAGCAGTGTTGCAAATGATGTAGTTTCGTGTGATTATTTGGGTCTGGGCAGCTGGGAAATGAACAAGAAGTCTCCGTTTATAATGGTGCACCAACGTGGGGGCAACCACGTCCACATAAAACCTAAAAGAGCTTGAGAAGGAATTCTAGACACAAAAGAACAGAGTTAATTAAGCACAGCTTCTTGATAGCAGCATTTTCTTGGGTGGGCTCTGTTAGCTAGAGCCAAGTACAAACAGCTGAATCTTTTAGGAGGCTTGCATTTAAATGTGTCTGTGAGCAGCACGTTACAAACTGCTTAATAGCGACATAGACCCGCTGAGTCCTGGAGCTGGGGAGGCGAGTAAGGTCTGCAGAGGCGGTGAACATACCTCTGCCATGTTAGATTGGGTGGAGCGAATAGGCAGGGTTACAGAGTTGGTCCTAGCCACACCTTAGCATTTAAAATAAAAAAAGGTGTTCCTGGTCAGAAAATAATTACAGATATTCAATAAAGACTAATTTAGACAAAAAATAAACCTCTGAATGAGTCACAGTGTGTTAAAAAATGTACATAGGCGGGCTGGAGAGATGGCTCAGAGGTTAAGAGCATTGCCTGCTCTTCCAAAGGTCCTGAGTTCAATTCCCAGCAACCACATGGTGGCTCTCAACCATCTGTAATGGGGTCTGGTGCCCTCTTCTGGCCTGCAGGCATACACACAGAAAGAATATTGTATACATAATAAGTAAATAAATAAATAGAAAAGTAAATAAATATTTAAAAAATGTACATAGGCTTGGGAGAGAGAAGAAAAAAATATAGACAAGAGTATAGTCACAGATTAAAGGAGAAAAGACAATAAAATAAATATCAAAAAGTGATAGAGTTAAAAAATAAGCCACATAAAGATGAAATATATACAAGAGAGTCTGGATTATGTATATTATTGTATTTTTTTTGAACTTTTTACTGTTAATGAGCTAACTGCAGAGAGGCATTTGATTCTGGGGGCTGTTAAGCTAAACCAACATAAAGGTATCTTGACTTCAAAATTTTAGTCTAAGGATATGTTGCTTTGCAAAACAGGTTCTGCTTTTGTTTCCACAGAGGTTGGGAACCTGTGGATTCCTTCCAGGCTAATGTGGTTTGATGGAGCAAGATCCCCCTGAAAGGTCTCTGTGAACACTAAAAATATACTTCACCCAACAAACAGCAGGAAGCAGTTTGAAGAAAACTACACACAAATTCCCCAAAATAATTGTTTATAAATGTTTATTTTCATTTTAAAAGGGTTGGCTATAAATAATGGTCGAAGTTAATTTATAAAAAAATAAGTGGGATATGATACAGAGATGAATACTTTGCATTGGTATTGATCTTGGTGTATTGATATAAATTTTAGGTTGATTTTGCTACTCCGTGCGTATACATTTCTGCTCTTCCTTAAGGTATTGTGTTTGTGTAGCTCATTTTAAAATGTAATGAATAATTAAGAAATACAGATTAATAGTCATCTACAATAATCAAAATTTATATTTGGTTAGGTAGGTTTTCTAGATATATAGAGATGTATTTCAGTTAGATAATCTTCAACACTCCAAAGACCTACAGAATATGGCATTTAAGAACTTAGACTTTTGGGGCTGGAGATATGGCTCAGCGGTTAAGAGCACTGATTGCTCTTCCAGAGGACCTGGGTTCAATTCCCAGCACCCACATGGCAGCTCACAACTGTCTGAAAATCCAGTTCCAGGTGACCTGACACCTTCACACCAATGCACATAAAATAAAAGATAAATAAATTATAAATTAAAAAAAAGAACTTAGACTTTTCTCAACAGTAAGACATGTCTGCTTCTGGCAGTACTAATTACTTCAAGAGGATGATGGGCATCGAAGAGGCACCTTATGGAGTTTGTTAGCCATTTGGGCGAGAAACTGCTCATGCCTGGACTGCTTAGTTGTATGTTGTATGAACTGGACATGCAGGACCCACAGAAAAATGACTACTGACCTTGCCAAAAGAGGTGAGAGAGGTAAGACAAGCTGGGAGGTTGTGGCACACACCTTTAATCCCAGCACTCAGGAGGTAGAGGCAGGTGGATCTCTGTGAGTTCGAGGCCAGCCTGTTCTACAAGAACTAGTTTCAGGGCAGGCTCCAAACTTACAAAGAATCTCTGTCTCAAAAAATAAATAAATAAAATAAAATAAAATAAAAAGAAAAGGAAAAAAAAAAAGGTGAGACAGTACAGTACTTTAGGGTTCTTGCTTCATGAAAGAGCTGCCAGACATTCTGCAGGACACAGAAGAAAGTGACTGACAAACTGCCAATATAGGCAAAACAGTCTTTCAAATTTCCTGCTTCATGGATGTCTGCCAGATACTATGGGCCTGTAGGCTAAAGATGGATGCCCCAATGTTACAGAGGAATTTTGGGTGACTGTCCAGGCAGCAAGATGTCTCTGTCAATTCTAGAACTTTGGAAGTTGCTTACAATGCACTTCATGTTTACTTAGGTAATATTATATCCTTCTGGAGTCTTTGATGAAGTTGAAGACAAATAGTTATAATTATAGTTTTCCTTAGTTATGATAAAGGACAAATTAGATATGAAACTTTAAACTCACAAAGATAAAATAGATAATAGAATATTTTCTTTAATTTTGTCAGAGATACAAATAGATTAAATATTGTAACTGCAATTCTTGCTTGATGCCTGTTTTGTTATATGTAATTTTACTATGTTAAAGTTAAAACTTTACTTTTTAATTAGACAGAAAAGGGGAGCTGATGTGGGATGGCCTTCTGTATATGTGTTGTTTTTATTGGTTAATGAATAAAGCTACTTTGGCCTATGGCAGGGCAGAATATAGCCAGGCTGGAAGAAGTATCTATAGAGAGTAGGCGGAGTCAGAGAGACACCATGTAGCTGCCAAAGGAAGAAAATGGTAAGCCAAAGCCTCATGGTGATACACAGTTTATTAGAAATGGGTTAATTCAAGATGTAAGAGCTAGCTAGAAATACACTTGAGTCATGGTCAAGCAGTGTTGTAATTGATGTAGTTTCGTGTGATTTTTCGGGTCTGGGTGGCTGGGAAATGAATGAGCAGTCTCCGTTTACAAACTGACCATTTTTATGATCAAAAACAAACCATAATGCCTTGCCTGTATGTAACTCTTACTTAGGAAATTATAACAGACCACCCATGCTGCCAAAAGAGGCAATGGGAGGCAGCCTGCTGAGAATACAGTTGCCTTTTCCTAGGAGCCAAGAGAGTCACCATCTCATAGCAAAATCTACATATCCTCTAACTTTTGTCTGGTGGTTTTCTATAAACTGTAATGCTGCCACAGACATGATGGAGAGAAAAGGGTTCTCGCTTGCTTACCAAGTTTGTTTCTTAATTTTTTTTGGAGTACAGAGAAACTCAGGCTAAACATTAGGAGCCTGGATGTCCAATAACAAACACATAGCATGCCATGATGACGGCATGTGTGTGCACGCATGGGGGGGGGGGGGGGAGAGGGAGAGGGAGAGAGAGAGAGAGAGAGAGAGAGAGAGAGAGAGAGAGAGAGAGAGAAGCATGTGATCAGCTCCAAGCTTACAGGAACTGGTCTTACACCGATTCCAGCATGACTGGGGCAAAGTGGTACCGGTGTGTAGGCACAGTACTGTTCTGTGCTTGGTAGAAGAACACCTGCCTCCCCAAGCTTCTCAGAAAACTGGCTCCGAGTTACAAGGGTATGTCCTCTGGAATGACTAGAAGCTTCTTACCATGTTTCTTCCCTCCCTTCCATTCTCCTTCATAACGGAAGAAAGAATTTGGGTATACATATACGCCGTAGCCTGTATGTGGAAAAAAGATGAACACAGTGACCGTTTGACATCAATAGACACAGATGGAGCGGCTCAGGGTCTGGGGTAGTCTGCAGGTCATTTCTAGACTCTCAACCCTTTCAACATGACAGTGTGCTTCACCTTGATTAACTGCTCAAAATGTACAGGGCTCAGTTCTGCTTATCGTTGGCCCAGCTGCTGCTTCTTTGGGTTTTGCTACGTGAACGTGCGCCAACGAAAAAGGTAGGTTCACCAAGAGGAAGGCTAGGACAAAAACTGATTGCAGGCTCTGAGAAGGGATTCAAAAGGTGGTGGCGAGGGCGGGGAACCAGTGGAACAGCCTCGGTGAGAAGACGGCAAGGAGCTCATCCTGCCAGGCCCTTCACCACGGAACAAAAATCCACACTCACCCCTAAGGACTCCGGGCTAGCATCGCAGCCTGGGGCGGGGAGAGAGCGGCACTAGCGTGGACTCTGGCCTCATACCGACCCTATTTCTCCGGTTTTAGGACAATTTCCCATCAGACCGCACGCTCACCCTGCCCCAGCCTGACCTCGGCTCTACCCACCCACCTAACTTGGGTTGGCCAAGAGCCCGCAGCTTCGACCCCGCCTGCGGAGCCACCGACCGCGGCCGAGGCCCGTCCGCAGAAGTACCAGCGCTGCCCTCCAGAGCGACCGAGCTCCAGACGGGGTACGCGGCTCGTACCGTCACGCGGTGGCCGTCTCGGTGAGGGCCGACTCGGCTGGAGCGAAGCCGGGGTCCGTTCGTCAGTCGCCGCCATCTTGCCGCCACAGGTTGCCGAGCAACCGTAAAGACGCTTACCATTGGCTTCCGGTTGCCACGGGGCGGGGCCAGGAACTGTCTTGGCGACCGTAACATTCGCAGCGCCGGCGTCCGCTCCGGAGCCCCCAGGACACCAATGCGCCTGTGCAGCACGGCGCACTTCCTCCGGCCCCGTCCTTCCGGCGGGAAGCACTCCCGCTAACGGCCTCGGCGTCCGTACAGGAAGCGGAAATGGTTGGAGCTTGGGCCCCGCCCCGCGGCCATCTTGGCGGCTGGAGGCGGCGCCGCAGGACGGAACGGAAGTGCCTGTGCAGCTTCCCGGATCCCGAGCCGAGCTCTGGCGGCCGCCCTGCCCGCCATCCTCCTTCCGCAGCCGTGAGGGAGACCGCGGCTCGGCTGCAGCGGAGCTGCGAGGTGCTGGGGGTGGGCTGGTGGCGCGAACCTGGCCGGGCGGCGCAGCACCGCCTTCCTCTGGACTGTCAAGGCCACGAACGGGCGGGCGGGGTCGGGCAGTGCCTTTGCGGCTGGCGAGGGCTTGCCAGGGGGCCGGCCGATCCCCGGGGGGATCCGCGAGGGAGCTGGCGAGCGCTGCCCACTCCGGCCGTGGGACATTGGAGGAAGGTGGCCTGTTGCTGCCCGCACAGCTCGGAGAGTCTGGGGCGGGCATGTGTTAGGAGTCCTCTTCCTACCCCACCGCCGCGTTCGGTTTCGGGGCACACGTGTAGGAATTGAGCCCGAGGGCGAAGACACTACTGAGTGGATTGAAGGGGTGCTGGTTAAATGACTCTAGGTTATATCGTGACATTAAGGAAGTAAAACCCCCAGCTGTCCAGGCTGTGAACCTTCGGCATCGCGCTGATAAGACTATATTGTCTTCCTTGGCAGGATATCAGTGCAAGAGGGCTACCCTCCTTCACACTAAGAACCCCCAGTGGCGTTTCTTACTTGACTCTTAAGAACAGAAAACAGTTGAAACTGCCTTTTGGGGTTAAGTTTTCAATTCACAATAATGTGGAATTTCCTAAAAAGTCCTCAAAAGAACATTAGTATTCCCTTGCTTGGATCCTGGTGTGTGTGCTGGGGGAGTGATAAGAGTGTGAAGGGCTGAGGGAGATCCAAGATGCTCATCCTCAAAGGTGGGAGGGGCCCAGCCTGGGAAGAACTCAGACCCGGTCTGGAAGGGCTGTCAAAGAGGGAAAGACTCTTGAAACCTGCAGGTACTATTCCTTGGCCAGGAGGCAGTGACCACCGATGCTATGCAGAGAACTTTCTCCTCTCTGCTGTATTCTTAACTTCGGAGTGATGGAGTGCAGAAACTAACCAAATAGTAGGCTCTAGAACAAGGCACGGGGAGAACGTTCTGTATGGCTAGTACTTGTCCACCTTAGAACAGATTTTGTGTGTTTGTTTGTTGTTTTTTTAGAGACAGGGTTTCTCTATGTAGCCCGGGCTGTCCTGGATCTCTCTCTGTAGACCAGGCTGGCCTCGAACTCACAGAGATCTGCCTGCCTCTGCCTCCCGAGTGCTGGAATTAAAGGCGTGTGCCAATACCGTCTGAATCTTAGAACAGTATTTAATCTGGCTTTTTTTTTTTTTTTTTGGTGACTGGACATAGAGCATTTTCAGTAGGTATGTGGGAAGCACTACAGGTTGTGAGACCCATCCAGAAAAACCAGACAAGCTCCCCCAAGAAGCTTACCTTCTAGTGGGAGGAAGTTGAAAGATTACCAGAAAGGAATTGGAAAGCAGTTGTTAAAAGAAATAGAAATGGATGTGACCTGGAACTGATGTCAGTTTGGACAGCTTGGGGGGCCTCTCTGACCTCTGTCTGAGGGAAGGGATGAGGACTGCGGATAGAACAGCTGGCACAGATTGCCATTAGATCCTCATAAGACCCCTTTGATGCAGGCAGAGGGAATCTCATCTCATTTTCCAGATCCAAGCCCCACACATTCTGCAATAGGCTTCCCAGATCTGCCACTAGGAAGTGCAGTGCTGGGATCCGGAGCAGGCAGTGGGACTCCAAAGGTCACATTATTAATCTTGTTATGCTGCCTCTCAGGTTGTTGTTGGCAGTTAGTTTAATCAGATATAGATCAATGTTTGTCCAATAATCAAAACTTGACTAATGTGTTTTCGGTAGATTTTCTGCATATCGTCTGAACCAGAGTTTTAAGCAGTCAGCTCAGCCTCGAGTACATACTTTAAAGGAATAACCATGTCTTTTTTTTCTTTGAAATGGTCTCACTATATAGATAGGCTGGTCTGGAACTCATTGTGCAGACCAGGTGGACCCCAAACTTACCTGCCTCTGCCTTCTGAGTGCTGGGATTAAAGGTGTGCACCACCAGGCCTAGTCTTTTCCTTTTGGTGTTACTGTCACTTTAAGCAAATGTGTTTTGGTGGTAAACACTGTAAAGTGAGGGACCCTTTGCACGCATCACAGGGTGAAGGGTATGCCCAGGACAGCTTTCTATAGGCTGGGTGGGATGGGCATGCACTCTAGGGAGTGCGTTTTCTAATGTGGCTTCTGTTAAATGTGGAGTCTCCCATAAAGTGTAAAAATGTACCCCCAGAAAGGGAGAGCCATAACTAGGGTTTTCAGTTAAATTGTGTATGTTTAGTTTATGCAACATACCAGAGACCAAAGGGCATTCTCAGTCTCTTGGACGGCTCTGAGCACTGTGCTCAGTGGATCCAGGAAATGGATGCACAGTCACAACTCTTAATGCAGGGCTTGAGTCGACTATAGGATTACCTATTTGCCATCCGAGGTCCCATTGTGAGGCCACTGATGTTTCCCAAAGGATTTCCCCAGTGTTCACATAGGATAGGCTGGAAGAGTTGAACTTAGAGCCTTACTGCCCTACTTCAGCTTTTGTGAACCTGATTTCTTACCTACTTTGGGAGCTGAGACCAAGCTCAAGACTTGGGGAAGACTGAAGTCTGCTTGCATATCTAGATTTTAAAAGAGCTTCATTGTGCAAGTGATGCACCTGAGGCTGACTGCAGCCAGAGTGCGACGGCCTCAGCTGCTCAGCACGGGGCGTTTCAGTCATCCTTGAGTCAGTTTGTTCCTGCGCTTCACTCCTCGTAGCAGAAGGATCTAGGAAGGTTCTACACACAGATGTGAGGACCAGGACTATAAGATTTTCCCTTCCCGCCTTTCAAGTAGGATTGATGACAAAGGCCCCATCACTGCCAGTTTTCCTGAGTCCATATCTGAAGAGCTGGATATCAGGCTGGGCTCGAGCCGCTGCCTGGCCTTGGTCTGCTGGAGATTTGTCCTCTGTGAAACTGAGGGTAATGATGCTCTTCTTAGCTGTGCCTAAGTTCTGTAGTGAATTCTGCCTGGGATCCCAGCAGCGTGTTGAAATGGACAGGGGGCAGATAGGGTCACCTTTAGTTGCCAGATAAGAATTGGCCAGGGATAGCGGGACACCTGCTAGTGTTGTTGATAGGGAGAGGACTTGGCTCTGGGAGTATAGATCCAGGGCAGATCCTAGGAAAGACAGAAATGCTCTGGATGAAGTCTCACATCTTACAGACTGGTGGTCAGTAGAGGGGAATATTTTCACACCCCCGAAGACTTCTTATTTGTAAAGTATCTTATGTTTATCTCAGTTACAGAATGTCTGAAGGGGACAGTGTTGGAGACTCTGTCCATGGGAAGCCCTCAGTGGTGTACAGATTTTTCACACGGCTTGGACAGGTGAGTGGATTTGTAGATCATTAATAGAAATATTTGGAAGAGAAACTGTGACTCCTGATGAATCCCGAAGGGTGAGCTTGTTGTTTCACAAGGAGAAGCTAAGCTACAGCTTGTCCCGGTGGAAACTTTCACTTTCAGGGTTTGGCTCTTCTCTTCACCATGAGTGCCTGTGTACACGTTCCTCACCATGTGTGCCTGCGTACGTGTTCCTCACCATGAGTGCCTGTGTACGTGTTCCTCACCACGTGTGCCTGCGTACGTGTTCCTCACCACGTGTGCCTGTGTACGTGTTCCTCACCATGAGTGCCTGTGTACGTGGTCCTCACCATGCGTGCCTGTGTACATGTTCCTCACCATGTGTGCCTGTGTACATATTCCCACCATGTGTACCTGTATACGTGTTCCTCACCATGTGTGCCTGTGTACATATTCCTCACCATGCATGACTGTGTACGTGTTCCTCACCATGCGTCCCTGTGTACATGTCCCTGGAAAAGGTCAAGTAAAGAGGTCTGGACAGTGGGGACTCCATCCTGTTTTTGTTTTGCTGCTGCTTTTTTGTTTTGTTTTGTTGTTTTGTCTTTTTGATTTTCTGAGACATGGTTTCTCTGTGTACCTTTGGAGCCTGTCCCGAAACTTGCTTTGTAGACCAGGTTAGTGATAGTCCTTTATCTCTTTCCACCCCTTTTTCTTTTAGCCTGCCACCTGCATCTGTACGCGGAGACATGGAAACTGCCCTTTTGTTTTCTGGCTGTCCTAACCTGAATGATCACACAAAAACTATATTAATTACAACACTGGCCGATGGCTCAGATGTATTTCTAGCTAGCTCTTTACATCTTAAATTAACCCATTTCTGTTAATCTATCCCCACTGTCTCTTTAACTCTGCCTACTTTTCTCTCTATATATATCTTTTCAGATCCTGCCTGGCTATAGTCTGCCCTGCCATAGGCCAGAGCAGCTTCTTGACTAACTAATGATAATAAAATATATTCACAGCATACAAAGGGGAATCCCACATCATGCATCCATGCGTCCTGGCACACCTCATCCTTCCTTTGCCTTCATGTGCCTGTTGGGTGATGCTTCCCAAGCGTGTGAGCCTTTCATGTTGGCTCAGGTAGATATAGTTCACTCTGTAACTGTGTTTGAGGCTGCCTCACACTATATCTAAAAGTCTGACTTAGCCGGGCAGTGGTGGCACACACCTTTAATCACAGCACTTGCAAGCCAGAGGCAGGCAGATCTCTGTGAGTTCGAGGCCAGCCTGGTCTACAGAGCTAGTACCAAGACAGGCTCCAAAACTACACAGAGAAACCCTGTCCTGATAAACCAAAAATAAATAAATGAATGAATGTCTGGCTCAGTGAGCTGATGTGACTCAATTAAAAATTTCAAATTTTTGCTGGGTGGTGGTGGTGCACACCTTTAATCCTATCACTCAGGAGGCAGAGGCAG